ATATAATTATATACAATTATATAAAATTATATGTACTTTTGTATAATTTTATATAATTATACATAAAATATTTTTTCCCGATTACAAAAAAAAAAGTAACTGCGTTACTTTATGACAACTTTACTGGTAAAAAGTAATTGCATTACTTTTTTTTTGTAATTGTGTTGATAAAGTATAGTTACATTTTTTTTGGTTACGATAACTGTAATAATTACTTAAAAAAAATCGGTAACTAATAAGAGTAATTTGTTATTTTTTCCAATCGGTAACGAGTAATTATAATTTGTTACTTTAAAAAGTAACTTTAAAAAGTAACTTTCCCTGATCATATTAAATAAACATGTGTTTTAATATCTATTATAAGTTTTTAAATAATTTTATTTAATATATTGTAATATACAAGGGTGCGTCTAAAATCCGGACAAATCAAACAATTTCTTTAAACAAAATGTTTAAAAAAAAAAATTAAATATTACAAAAATTCTTTTACATGGCACTTGATCTCTGATTGGGGAATTTCTGTAGAGCACAATTATTCGATATATCCCCCCCCTCCCCTCGGTCTGAAACGTTCGCATACATGTGTAATGTAGCGCTGTCTATGCCGACGAATGCTGTCTCAATAGCGGTCCTTCATGACATTGGAATATCGAGATTTGTTTGTGATCCTTCAACCTTTTCAACTACCCTCCCTACATACTACGTAGTAGTTCAAGGGATTTAAATCTAGGCTGTTGGGAGGCCACAATGGGAGCCGAGACAAGCAACTCGGCTTGTCCTGGCAGTCTCAGAGAACATCTGTCATATCTTTAATGATATCTTTAATAGTGTATGATTTGTATCGAAGGTCCTCCTCGGCAATTCGACGCATTGTTGGTTCGCTTACACCAACAATCGATGCTAATTTTCGATTGCTCTGGATCATTCGAAATCGGCGCTTGAGCCCTTTCAACGATAGCGGAAGTCCTCGCGTTCTTTCGAGTAACTCTTCCTCGCTGACATATTAGAACCGTTGGACTGTTCTAAAATCTATTATATTATATTTTGCCACAACGTCATAAACGGTTGATCTCGGTTATCCAAAGAATCGAATTATTTCCGTTGCTGAGCGCTCAGCACAAAGGTCTTCGATGATTGCAACTCTTCGATTATACTCCGCACTTGGTTTCAACATCGCGGTCATTATGAGAATATGACTGTTTATTAAAAGCATCAGGCTTTCTCGGACACCAACAACAACCTTTAGTGGAGACACAATAAAATAGTGGAAAATTTAAATTAAAATTTGTCCGGATTTTGGTGACCCTGTATAATTTTATTTATATATATTTATATATAATATATTATAAGGTTTAATTAACAAAATAGAAAAAACAATTCTGCTAAAATATGTTAAAAATTTAGCTAGATATAAATCTGAAAAGAACTTTGTTGGACCATTAAAATAATTATAAAGAAATTTCAAGCATGACGAGGAGTGCTATAAAAAGTTTTAATATTCTAGCAATTAGTTTAAAAAGTAGTTCCACATATCATTACATGGTTACGCATTTAGTTAAATTCTTAGATATTTCAAAACTATCGTTTTTTGTGTATCATACAAGGTAATTTCTCGAGCTTAAACAACATAATTCTTAATTTCTATTTTTTTTTCCATAAATAAAATAAAAAATTATGATCATATTAGAGAAGTACGTCATAATGTTCATTACAAGTTTTGCTATACTTAGAGAAGTAGTATAATACAAGATAATTCCATCTCTAATCGCAAAGCAACAAAACTCTTGATTAATCGCATACAAGGTAGAGTTTAAAGCTATTTATACTTGCGCATAAGTTATTTATACTTGTATATATCTTAATTAGTGTTATTTCGTTTATTGAACGTGTAAACATATTTACATGCGCAGCGTAATGTTACTTATTTCGAAACGCGCATCCTCTATGAGAAGTGTCTTCCTACGCGATGACTATATTAAAAATAGCGCGCAAACTCTGACAGGATCTTGCATCTTTCCCTCGATCCTTTGTCTCTGTGTCTTAAAACTCGTTCATGACTTATACTCCTTTTCCCCAATGTTCAAGAACTGTCTTGTATTATCGGTGACGTTAAACTCATGTGTTATCGGTGACATTAAGAATAGTCGGACACTCTTGGACGGAGATGGTGAATCAAACGTTTTCACATTGTTCCCGTGCTCTAGATAAACTTCACACTTTTGGCAGAGGTGTTATCAGATTACAAAGCGACTGTATGTCGGATGCTTATTGTATTTCAAATGTTGACTAACAGCTATTACAGTAAAGTCATGACTGCCAAAAAACCGTCCTAAACCTGCCAGATATCTCTCTTTTCAGCTGTAAGATTTATTCTACAACTTTAAAGTCGATTTTTCCGGTGTAAAATTTGCTACTTGTTGAAAGAGTAAAAGTCTATTAGAACACGTGGAAATGTCTTAATATTCAAGCTCCTTTGTAAAAATTTAATATTGAAAGATTAACAATTTATTTGAATATTAACTCATAATTAATAACTCATAACTAGTAGTTAATTATAGTATAAATTATAGTATACTAGTATAAATTATAACTGAATATGTGGATCTTGACGACTTTGAGACTTTTTCTAATATATTAATTAATAATGCTTTGGAATGACACTTTATGTTTGATAATTTTATATTTCACAGTTTTGAATTTGAAAAATTCTTAAAAAAATAAAATTAATAATAAAAACTGTAGTTAGTCCAAAAGAATTAGTATGTTCCAAACGTTAAAAATCATTCCTGTTACGGATTAAAACTATCATATTGGTCAATAATATAATTTTTAATATCAACATAAGTAATTAATCATTACTTTTCAATATATTAAATTGATCATATTAATTGGATTTCTATAAGTCATTTCTGATATGCGTAAGATTTCAGAAACATATTATTAGATATCAAATTGATCGTATTCATAAGAAAAAACACGTAATAATTTGTTATAAGAATAAATATATAAGAATAAATTGCCTCTCACTGGGCGAAAAATATCCTTCTGATAATTTTTTTTCTTTATAATTAACACAAGTAAGAGAGACAGAGCAAGTAAAAAAGAAAATGTATTTATCTATCAGTTTCTATCCGCAACATGCAAGATCTCGCGCTTTTATAAGCTACATACATCGATATATAATAGTTTGCGACATTATAGAGTGTTCGCGATGTATGGCATGGAAGGCCAGATGGTCACTCTCTGTCAACATTTGCGGCATGAAACATCGCATGCAACGATATTATTATTATTATTCGCGTTACTATAAATTATTATTTAACTGTGATATACATATACGGACATCATACATCGCAATTATAAATACGAGCGAAACTTTTAGAATAAAATTTTTGCAATCACGACATTGAAATATTTTTCCATTTTTTTCAATTAATATCAAATAAAATCTTTGCAGACCAAATCATGGAACGATAAAGCAAACGCTATTCAATTTATATTAGTCTTCATATAATCAATAATGATTGCGATATTTCCTTAACTTGTCAGGGATAGCTACGCTATTCGTTTTAATTAGTCATAAAATGATCGATAAGATCTGAAGGTTTCAATCAGTCGTGGCCTTTAGAAAAATAAATGCCAGCTAGAATTGAAACACAACGCAGCTAAAGGAGAATGGATATATATATATCGGTCGTAAAATAAAATAACGCTTCAGAAAGCGCTAATGCCAGATTAGGCAACTCGCGACACGAAGAATGAATAGAAATGAGCGCACAATGGAGGCTGCCGTGTATATACTTACAAACGCTGCAGGTGAGGCTGCGACAAGGTGCTCTCGCCGTTTCCGGTTTTACAGCTCGCTTCGAGATAGCATCCAGACTTGCCGCGTGAGAGACACTCCGTGAAGGGCCCTCTGCGACACCCCCTGAAGACGAGTTCGCACCCTCCCAGATTCCTGATTTTTGCGAAACCTGAAAGCACAAAGCGATCGCGCGGACTGATAAATTTTTTTCCGAAATATTTATCAAAGTAATGTTTTATATTTACTATAAATAGCGCGCATAAATGTAATACGACGGAAACGGATAGCTAATTTATTGCCAATTCGAAAAAAATTATATAAATTAAATAAATTATATAAATTATAAATATAATGT